CACACTGGACTAGATTCTGGGAGGCTATGATTCCCAGTTTTGGCGTAGCAGATGCCTTAAAACAGCAAGAGATCATGCATTATAGACTGGCCTCTTTTATTAACAGTACCACGGATGACATTTCTGGACTAAGAGAGGAGATGAAAGCTCTGAGACTAATGACTATGTAAAACAGACTGGCTCTGGACATGCTCTTAGCGGAAAGGGGCGGGGTCTGCTCCCTGGTTGGAGAGAGCCAATGCTGCACTTACGTTCCCGCGGATGATGAGGATCTTGGACGAGTAGGACAAGCTGTAAAAGCGATGAAAAGGATATCATCACAGGTGTATAAGGATGAGATGAAGGAAAGAAATTATAATTGGGGATGGGGATTTTTAGAAAGCCTGTTTGGATCATTGGCTCCATATGTCTCAATGGTAGTACCGGTACTTATTATTTTCTTATGTGTATGTATTTTTGGTCCATGTCTTCTGAGATGTTTTATGGAACGAATGTATAGGATGGTTAATGCCTTAGGTAAAGGGTTATGAACATTTAGCTATGAATGGAACTGAGGGTAACCATTTAACAAATAGAGTTTATAAGAATATGGTATGATCCAGGCTCTTGTAAAAAACAGAGCCTGGAAGAGGGGATTGAAAGAAATATCCATGTAGTCACTCTCCAAATATTCTGTTTTGTAACTGTGTCTTATCTTATTGTAAGTTGTCCCTGTACTAGGCGCCTTGACTTTGCGCCTTGACATTCTTGAGCACTGGATAAAATTGTTCTGCCTAACTGAGCTGAATATTTGCACGTATTCATAGCCCATGCACCCCTGAGTATGATGTATAAAAGCTGGGAATACCCCAGACTTCTTTAGAAGAGAGCAATAAACTGTTGGATTCACATCTCTCAGTTGTTGTTGCCTTCCTGGAGCTCCAGCTTACTGAGGAAACACACAGACGGTCTGCAATTTATCCCAACAGAGACAAAATAAAATTGATTGTTTTTGGTCAATTTTGATAGCTGTTTGGGGGATTATTTTATGAGGCCAAACTCTTTCTACTTTGCTGGAGGCCTATACAGAAAGGCTAAATAAGTTAAAGCCAATAATCACTATAGCCTGACAGATGAACAAATAAAATTAAAACCTTATGAATAAATAGTATATCTCGTAAGATACTGCATGATCCAAAAATAGTGTTGTTTAATACATTTTTTAAGTTTTCATTACATCTTAGGCATGAAATCCACGCTAAATCCACCCTTCTGATGGGATCAATTTAATCCAGGTTTTTTGGATCAAAGTGATCCAGATCCTATAAAAAAGGTCTGAAAAACCCAAACTAAAGGTTTGATCCAGATCAAAACCAAGATTAGATTACGTGATCTAATCCGATTAGGTAATCCGTTTTTTCTTTTGAAAAACCCATTTTCAAGATTTGCTCCAATCCCTTATCCAAAATCCTAGTGGATTACTTTTGAAAAACCGGGCCCTGGAGATGACCACTTGCAGCCTTCCAGTTATCTTTTCTCCATTGCTAAACTAGGTAAGTTGTTATTTGGTCTGGCATACATGTGCAAATTAACAATTTAAAATTTCTGTTTTAAGGTTGGAGAAAACATCATTTGGTATATGGAGGATGATTTTCTTTGTCCATCAAGTTATCATTTGTGGTGACCCGAAATAAGAAAATTAATCAGCAACTTGAGGGTAAGTAAATTATGAATACACCCAAAAATCGGTGAAACACCCATACACTCATATAGCAGCAGAGGCGAATCCATCATGTCCCAGAGCTGGGTCAGTTGGCATTGCTGTGTGGAGTTTGCATGTCCCTCACAGTCTAAACATACAGCATAGGTAAATTTAATAAACTAAATAGGCCGTAGTGTTTGAGTGTATGGGTGCTTCACCTAATATATATATATATATATATATATATATATATATATATATATATATATATATATATATATATATATATATATATATATATATATATATATATATATATATATATATACATATCTTCTTTTTTTTTTTCATTTTTATGTGAAATATTCCTTTAATAAATCCAGTGTACTGTTTCTATGGCATGGATTTAAGTGCTGTTTTTGTTTATTTATTTTTAGATTGCTCAAGACAGGTATTTTATACCCACACACCAAAGATAACCTTTTTGAGGTTTGAACAGATGCATCACTGCAGATTCTCTTGTATTGCAAAAAAGAGGAGAGAGCCTTGGATCTACCAGTTCATCTGGTGAGAAAATCCTGCATAACAGCTCTGTTTTAATATAAACTTGTAGCATTTCACCTTTGATATAAGGGTCTTGTTTTGAGTTTAATTATTGTGTTTTTTCTGTTTGATATAAAGAGAGCCTTGGAGATCCCACTTTGGAGATGGTGCTTTAACAGCTCAGCCAGCTATCCCTTCTCCACTGCCATACAGATTGTGCAGCAAGATAGTTCGGCCCTCATACCAGGAGGCAAAACAAACATTTGTTGATTTGCGACCTATAGGTGCATTATTTATGACAATAAATGTTGGACATTATTTCATTCATGTGTATATACTTGGAGGTACTTGGAGGAGCAACAGATACAGAACCTTCTTGTCCTGCTGCTTGGGGATGAACTAAACTGCTCTCAGACGTTTGTTATTGTTAGAGGAGTGGCACTAAAATTATGGACTTAAATAAAGCTTTGCCAATGTATTAAAAGCTGTATATTTTTATTTACATATAAAGATTAGTACCATAATAATAATAATGATGATAATAATAATTATAATTTTAATTATAATTATAAAAAGACAGGGCATTACTCTGCCTTTCAGCATGAGCCCTCCAAGTTTAGCGTGTTTCCTCATTAAACGCAACGAAAGCGTATGCTTCGCGTTGTTGTGTCAGAATCCTTGTGAAATACAGTAATACTTTAGGATGCTTAGTTTAAGCAAATTTGATGAACGTGATCATGCGAGCTGAATCTGAGGGGAGTCGCTCCAGTATGGAAGGCCGTTGGGGTCAAAACGTCTGCAGCGCGTTGTGTGTGTCTGTCTGTGTGTGTGTCTGTGTCAGGCCCGTTGATGGGTGTCAGGGGTGGAGTGAGCCACGTATCTGAGTAGGGGCGAGAGGGGTGTGCAGTGTATTTAACGACCGGTTTGCAAGAAATTATCATTCATTTGCAGGCATTTGGGAGTCTCTGTGCACTTGCGGGATACTCCTAGTTTTAGCAACTGGATGAATGTAAAGGAGGATTAAGCAAAATTGTTTCTACTCTATAACTACTGTTCTCAACTCACAGCAAGAAAACTTTACAATGAGTGCAACAGTTTGTATTCTATAGTTTTTTATTATAATTTTTCATTTTCCATATCTGCAATTCCTGTATTTTGGCATTTTTTTGCAGTCCACTTAGAATCCAACATGGAAATCAATGTTTTCTTTATTGGCATTGATTGTTTTGAAATTTAAATGTCATAAACATGCCTGTGTTTTAATTTCTGTAATAAATATGGCTGTCAAGCCAGGATCTTGATGGTTTATTGTGGGTATGTTGTTTACATAAAGACATCTGTGTTAAAAGTAAACAAAAAATCTATAAAACAATTATATTTTGAATTTAAATAGTTTTTGTTTAGCGTTTACATTAATTTTACATTTAAATAGCCAAAATTACAAGTTTCAGTATTTTAAATGCGATAAATCGCAATTAATTTTTTAAAAATGGTGCGATTAATTAGTAAATTTTTTTTAATCGATTGACAGCACTAAAATATATATATATATTTTGTGTGTGTGTGTGTTTTCGAAAAGATGAATTGAGAGCTTTGGTTAAGGATAGTTGATTGTGGCGTGTTAATTTAGGTGTTTGAAACTGCTGATGAGGGAATCGGTAAGTTAGATTTTTCAGAGAGTAATTTATTGTTTGAACAGCGAAAAGAATTATTAAGACAGACTCATGAAAAAGAAATGAATAAGCAGGCAACGGGAAAAGGAGGTTGAATTAGGGAGATTAAAGGCAGAGGAGTTAGTAAAACAGAAAAAAGAATCGCCGATGCCTGTGAGATATTTGGCATGCTAAAAATCTGGAGCTGTCGACGATTCAAATCATGCCGTGTGAAATGAGAATTGACTGAAAATAACATCCGGCATCGCCTAAAGCCAATGAGAGAGCAGCATTGACTTGTGTGTGTGTGCCTGCAGGCCAGCATGAGGCTTGGCTAGAAGTTAAAATCGCTCATTTTTGGTTTATTTGGACCCTAGAAATGGAGGAAAAATTAGTGGAGGTTTGACAGGAGCACTCGTGTCTGTTTGAAGTTTCATACAGAAAGTTAAAAAATAAAGTGGAGGAGCAACTGCTAATTCCCTTAAAACCCAGGTGAGCAAATATGTACATTTTCTACCCCATTAAAATCTTCTTTCTTGTTAAGTAATAACAAAATATATACAATGTGTTTTTGGCTGTGAGAAGTAGTTTGGATGAAGTTGTCAGCGATTCTTCCTCCATAAAGTTAACCTCCACTCCACAGCTGCCCTGTCCTGACCTCTTCATGCATCTCAAAGGACAGAGCTGTCCCGGGAGAAGCTTGCTAATATACAGAATTGGACTCAAGGCCATCTGGGCATTCAAAGTATTTGCAGACCTGGACAGATTTGTCCAGCCCAGCACCTCCTTGTGCTGCAAAAAGGTATGAATTCTCCCTATGAGCTATCAACCAAGGCTGAACCTGGACGGGGGTGTCCCGCGAGTCACTTTTAACACACAAGGCAGGGATAATTTGTCCCAATCGGAACGTAGCCAAGGCAGAACCTGGACGAGGGCATCCCACGTGACACTTTTAACACACAAGGCAGGGATAATTTGTCCCAATCGGAACGTAGCCAAGTCAGAACCTGGACGCAGCAGGCATACAGCTTTGAACTAAGAAGATAGGGCTCATTTGTCCCTACTGAATCTACTTTTACCACACAGATAATAAATAAAAGGAATAATGAAGACACTGAACACCATTTGACCGTTAAGTTGTACAATATTTATTCAGGACAATTCAGAGTCTTCTGTTGGTTCGAGTGGGCGAGCGCCCTGGCTTTTCCCCCTGGCAGGGTGCCATGGCAGCGTCCTCCTGCTGGTTCCCTCCTGGAAAAGAGACACATAAAGGGCAGTTAGCCAATGCCACACGTTCTGCTGTCCACGCCAAAGAGAATCTGATTTTACCAGGGGAGAGACGGGAGTCTCTGTCCTCTTGCGCCCTTTCCGCGGGGGGCTTTCAGTGCCCGCTGCCTCCCCATCCTCCTCCTCCTCCTCCTCCTCCTCCTCCTCCACCAGGGCCCTTTCAAACAGTCTGCGGGGCTCGCGTGCTTGGAGAGGTCCGAGGTGAAGTGCGTAGAACTTATCTGAGGTTGAAGTGTCATGGCACATGAATTGCGCCACCTTGCGGCGATCCTCTGAAGAGTGTGCATTCTTTGCCTGCGTCGGAGAGAGACAGAAGCTTGATTAGGATCGAAGCCGCCGCTGGTAGTTACAGGGGCGTCACAATGCCTTCTCACATGGGTCGCGATCGCAGTCCGTACGTCAGTAAAGGTGGGTTTGCCTGGAAGGCCCATACTGACCCAAGCAGACTGAAAGTGCTTGTTCAGGGTCCGACAAGGACTGGCTCTGGAAGTGAAAAAGAAATAGGTAGCCTGGCTCCCTCCGGGGAGACCAGCCCGCAGCGCCAAAAACCTGCGGAACCAGCTGTATTTCTCCCTGTTTAGGGACAGCTGCGCCGCCCCGAAGGCTCTGTTTGTCTTGTGCGTGGTAATCTGCCGTCAGAGAACAAGCAGTGAGGGAGAGCATGCTACTGGTGACCCCCACCTTACTTGCGCCATACTCACGTTATTGACATAAGAAGACTCGTCGGGGCTTCTGGAGGCCTCTTCAACCTCCTGGATTGTGAGATTCTGGAAGACTCCACAGCGGTGCCCAGGAATGGAGGTTAGGTAACCAGTCAGAAAGCCATAAAAGCGCCACTGTTGCCTAGTGCTTGGGTTGGACTCGAGGCTATCTGATGAAAGACATTAGACAAATGAGACCACCGACGGTTTTATTTCCTCTCTGGGTCACCAACAGCTCTTGGCTACTGGTGACTTGTTCTCAACCAAGAGCTGCTGGTGCCCCAGAGAGGAAATGTTCGCTTCTTCTCCAGGGGCACCAGCAGTTCTTGGTTCACCCAGTCACGTCTGTCTGCCCCTCTCCCCCGCGAATGGGACTCATTCGGGGGGAAGTGGGGCAGACAGACGTGGGTGGATGAACCAAGAACTGCTGGTGACCCAGAGAGGAAATTAAACCTAGGCCACCAGCAGCCGTTGGTTCATCCAGCCACGTCTGTCTGCCCCCCTTCCCCCCGAATGAGTCCCATTCGCGGGGGAGAGGGGCAGACAGACGTGGGTGAACCAAGGGCTGTTGGTGCCCCGGAAGAATGAACAGGGGGAATCGTTGGAACGGCGGAAAGCTGGCTTACCTAGCAGGGCGGGAATTTTCCTCCCAGCGGTCCGTTGACAGCGCACTAGGCTGGCCTTGGGGATCAGTCTGCTTTCCTTCGCCTGCTTGGTCCGTACCTCGTGCACGACGACACGCCGGCGTATGCCGCGAATGAGGGCTCTGACCTCCCGTCGAATCAGAACCAGAGTCGTGCTGGAGAGGCGGCCGGCGGGGTTTCCGATAGGTAGTCTAGGAACTGGGCCACGTTCTTCAGATAGTGCTGCCTAGTGGGCTCCGCCATCCGCGTCTGACCTAGCAGGACGGCCCACGCTCGGATTCGGGCTGGTTGGTTGAGGAAAAGGAAGGTCCCTGGCTCCGCGGTGCCCCTGGCCATGTAACCAAGGAAGGCTTTAATTCTCCCCAGCTTTGAAGAGACGTTGTTCCGCAGGCGGGCGGTGGGCTCGCTGCCCAGTTGGTACCCTTCGAACTCCCCATAGAGAAGGTCTGTGGAACGAGCACAACCAAGAGTCAACTTCCCCGAAGACACACACCCAGCACAGCGGCAGAGACGTGCCTGAAATATACTCAACTCAGCGCGGGGACGTGGGCCGGGAATGGGTAGGCATGGGGTTCCAAAGCCTCCGGAGGCTCGGGGGGCGTCGGACCTCCGGCCGCTTCTCGCCCGGGAGCCGGTTGTGCAAGAGGCGACCTGGTTCTCCTCGCCTTCTTCCTCCTCCTTCTCCACCCTTCTCCCCTCCTTAGCTCCCGGTAGAGGCGTGTGATTTGGAGCAGGGTGGACAGCATCTTGGTAATCTGCTTCCCCAGGTCCGTGAGCTGAGCCTGTATGCACTCCGTGGTGCACCTGTAGCCGCGGTCCGCGCACGGGCGGCCGGCCTCTGGGCCCTCCGAGTCCCGCTCCTCCTCGGAGGACGAGGCTAGCCAGGACACGACGGTCGAGAGCTCCGCGTGCTGCCTCAAGTGCCTGTCTAGGCAGGCTGAAGTCCTGCGGCAGCCCGGGACCGGGCACGGCGTCTTCCGCGTGTCCACGTGGCCGGCGGCCAGCGCGAGCAGCAGCCGCTTCTCGTCCGAGTTGGTCACCTTGTGAACGGCCGTCAGGTGGGGAGCAAGCCGACGGTAGACGTTGAAGCATAGGGCACACATTCAGCCATGACCGTGCTAGAGCCAATGCAGAGGGGGAAAGGGGCCCACACGCCACGTGCGGCGGTTGATAAGCGGGCAGAGGCTGCGTCCACTTCTGCGTCATGACGTTGGTAGACCCGTATTTCTTAAAGGGGAAGGACACCCCCCCGCACCAGGGGGTGTAAGCCGATGCCCTACGGGGATCCATTCGGTTCAAGCCTTCTTTTGTTACAATTCTCAAGTAGGGGGGAGAGGGGTGTTCACCTCACTCCCTCTCCCCCTTTTCAAAGGAACCAGAGGGGGGGTGTCCTGTTAAACAATGCACCCCCGCCCCTTCATCGCTGCCTCGGCCAGCGGTGCGACACCTCTCTCTCTTGTTACGACTCCAGTAGGGGAAGGGGTGTCCCACCTCACTCCCTCCCCCCTTCATTGTTGCTCTGGCCTGCGGGAGCTTTTCCACAGCCTTTCTTGTTCACTTTTTTCACCCCAAGAAGGGGATTGTTTGAACCCCATCGAACATGCACCGTTTTGGGGGGGGCAGCTCCACACGCGCCGGCCGCGGGAGCTTTTGTTTTGCTTTTATGACCTGCTACAAACCAACATCGATACGCACCAACCATCGAAAGGGGGGTCCAGACAGCCCTTAACCCCGGCACCACTGACCCTGGCACGTTTCACCTCGCCGGAGTCCACTAGCTTCCCCCAACCAACCACCCTCACTCCCCCCGGGAGCAGGGTAGGTGGGGTGGGGGTCAGCCGGGAGTCAGCAAGGATAAACCCAGGGGGTGGGTCGGCGTTGCGGGCGGACCGACGGACGGGATGCAGACGCACACACTCGGGCGGGGGTAGAATCGAAGCCTACACCAGCTCGTTGCCTACGCTGCCCCTGGGGGCTCGATTCACCACGCCGGGTGACTCAACCAAACCCACCGAACATCCCCCAGCCCTCGCAGAAACGGAGTCCAGGGGGGCGGGCTGGCGGGCGGGCTGAGCAGCAGACAAGCTCTGGGTCATAGCCAGACGGGCCATCTGGGTCCTTACCCACGGATCGAGGCGGGAAGGGGGGGCGCTGTGTGCGGAGGGACACCCCCACGCCTCCCTGATAGAACGCCCAGGACGGGGAGGATCTGCCACACCCATAGAGGCCGACCCCATTGGTGCTTTGGGGGGCCTGGGTGGGTGCCTAGCCCCTGGGGCGTCACACTTGCTCCTATCAATCAGTCGCCGTGGGGTCTGGCGACTAGACTAGACTGTCAGAGACTAAGTCCGTAAATTGTCGCCTTCCCCGAAACCCTGATGGCAGGTCAGAGATTGTTGGTGTCGGGCAAATACCTCCAGGCGCGGGACGTCCCGACAAGTAGGCCGGGAAGGGTGGTCTCCCGTCGGGCATGGTTTGATGTGCTCGGACCTGGGTCTAATCAACGCCCCGGTGAGCGAAAGGCATAACGTTTTCCTGTTGGACCTTGGCGCTAGATGCGTAAAGATGTGCCGCTGGTGAACCATTGATGGAGCCTCTGATATCCAGGGGGGCCCTAAGCCCGGCGCGCAATGCCCGAGGTACACACACTCTTCGGGGGGAAGCCCAGCTCCACTCCCTGGCCCAGAGCCTCTGACATCCAGGGGGGCCCTGTGCCCGGCACGCAATGCCCGAGGTACACACACTCTCCGGGGGGAAGCCCAGCCCAGCTCCACTCCCTGGCCTGGAGCCTCTGACATCCAGGGGGCCCTGTGCCCGGCGTGCAATGCCCGAGGTACACACACTCTCCGGGGGGAAGCTCAGCCCAGCTCCACTCCCTGGCCCGGAGCCTCTGACATCCAGGGGGGCCCTGTGCCCGGCGCGCAATGCCCGGGGTACACACACTCTCCGGGGGGAAGCCCAGCCCCGCTCCACTCCCTGGCCCGGAGCCTCTGACATCCAGGGGGGCCCTGTGCCCGGCGCGCAATGCCCGAGGTACACACACTCTCCGGGGAGAAGCCCAGCTCCACTCCCTGGCCCGGAGCTTCTGACATCCAGGGGGGCCCTGTGCCCGGCGCGCAATGCCCGAGGTACACACACTCTCCGGGGGGAAGCCCAGCCCAGCTCCACTCCCTGGCCTGGAGCCTCTGACATCCAGGGGGCCCTGTGCCCGGCGTGCAATGCCCGAGGTACACACACTCTCCGGGGGGAAGCTCAGCCCAGCTCCACTCCCTGGCCCGGAGCCTCTGACATCCAGGGGGGCCCTGTGCCCGGCGCGCAATGCCCGGGGTACACACACTCTCCGGGGGGAAGCCCAGCCCCGCTCCACTCCCTGGCCCGGAGCCTCTGACATCCAGGGGGGCCCTGTGCCCGGCGCGCAATGCCCGAGGTACACACACTCTCCGGAGAGAAGCCCAGCCCAGCTCCACTCCCTGGCCCGGAGCTTCTGACATCCAGGGGGGCCCTGTGCCCGGCGTGCAATGCCCGAGGTACACACACTCTCCGGGGGGAAGCCCAGCCCAGCTCCACTCCCTGGCCCGGAGCCTCTGACATCCAAGGGGCCCTGTGCCCAGCGCGCAATGCCCGAGGTACACACACTCTCCGGGGGGAAGCTCAGCCCAGCTCCACTCCCTGGCCCGGAGCCTCTGACATCCAGGGGGGCCCTGTGCCCGGCGCACAATGCCCGAGGTACACACACTCTCCGGGGGGAAGCCCAGCCCAGCTCCACTCCCTGGCCCGGAGCTTCTGACATCCAGGGGGGCCCTGTGCCCGGCACGCAATGCCCGAGGTACACACACTCTCCGGGGGGAAGCCCAGCCCAGCTCCACTCCCTGGCCCGGAGCCTCTGACATCCAGGGGGCCCTGTGCCCGGTGCGCAATGCCCGAGGTACACACACTCTCCGGGGGGAAGCTCAGCCCAGCTCCACTCCCTGGCCCGGAGCCTCTGACATCCAGGGGGGCCCTGTGCCCGGCGCGCAATGCCCGAGGTACACACACTCTCCGGGGGCAAGCGCTGGTTCCAAAGGACCCTCCAGACTGGCACCTGATCACCAGCAGTGCCTGGGCACCCCACTGTTAAGCCCGGGGACACTAACTCCTCCAAACCACACGGACAAGACAGACGTGCTGCTTCCCCCTGTCTCCCCGGGGCGCGTGCGCTGGCCTGCGGGGGGACGTGCGCTGGCCTGCGGGGGGACGTACGCTGGGACGCGGGTTAGCAGCTCAGCTGCGTCCCCCTGTCTCCCCGGGGCGCGCGCGGTCGCCTGCGGGGGGACGAACGCTGGGACGCTGGTTAGCAGCTCAGCCATGGACCCCTGACTCCCATGGTGTTCAGCCCACTGGCCTTGCCCGGGTTCGATCGCTTGTCTTGGGGCAACGGGCCCCTCTTTAGACCCCCTGGTTCGTTCAACCGCTAAATCAGAAATTGCACTAAGTCCTCTATTTCTGTCTGTTGTCGAAAACTCGACGGCAGGTCAGCGAATCCCAGGGTCGCGCTACCACCTCCAGGCGCGGGACACGCCGGGGAGAGTGGTCTCTATCCGGGCATGGCTTGGTGGGCTCTCCCCTGGGTCTAACCAACGCCCCCGGTGAGCGCACTTAGGTTTCAGCTGATGCGTAAATGGTGCCGCTGGTGAACCATTGGCCTCCAAGGCTTCATGTCACGCGCTTTCTGCCCAATACACCCTCAATTATCCCGGGCAAGCACTGATCGCCAAAGACCACCCCCCCTGGCTCTCTGACCCCCTCGCTTACCGTTGGTGACCCAAATAGGCCTTTGCGCGCGGTGGCCTGCGGGGGGACGAACCCTGGGACGCGGGTTAGCAGCTCAGTTGCGTCCCCCTGTGTCCCGCGCGCGCGCGCTGGCCTGCGGGGGGACGAACGCTGGGACGCGGGTTAGCAGCTTAGCTGCGTCCCCCTGTCTCCCCAGGGCGCGCGCGCGGTGGCCTGCGGGGGGACGAGCGCTGGGACGCAGGTTAGCAGGGGCTCTCCCCTGGGTCTAACCAATGCCCCCGGTGAGCTCATCCATAGCGTTTGCCAGCGGTCGTTCCAAAGAGCCCCCCTGCTAGAGACCCACCATCCCCCAAATGAGTGTTAGTTGTTTAAAACAGCAAAAAAATAAAATCAAAGCATTTCGTTTTCAAAAATTTTTTGTACTTTCTATTGTAAAGTCATGCAATGTGAAAGCCCCTGTCATTGATCCATCTTGCAGTGTAAACAAAGCAGCGACAAAACACTAGCCCAGATAGTCATGCAGTGTGAAAACATCTGTGACACGACTACTTTGAAAATCATGCAGTCTGAACTCGGCATGAAATGCTTTCAGGATCCGGTTTGCTGGAGGAGAGAAGATGGGGCAGGGTATGCCAAACTGTAGCTTTACTTCACACTTTTCATCTTAAAGAATTTTTGTAGGCAGTACTAATGTTTTAAAATTTAGAGAAAAGAGAAAAAAAAAAGAAAATAGATGGTTTGAGCATTGAAGAGAAATTATTGTTGTTGTTTGTGGTATTACATTTTTTTTCTTTTTAGAGGGGAGATGTTATGTCCCATGTGGGACCTGTTTGTTGTTTGTGTCTTTGTGATTTTTGCAGAGCCTGCAAGATTGCAGATTGGTGGGTGGGTCATCTCACCTGAGATTGTGTGGTGCCTATAAAGAGTCTGGCATTCTGTCTGAGAGGGAGCTCAATTAGCCGGACGTCTCTGCCTGGCGGTTTTGATTTATTTTAGTTTGTTTTGGATCATGAGCTCAGTACACTACCATACACATGCTTTTCACTACTGACTTCCATTTATACTGACTTTGATTGCTTTAAATACTTTTGTAAAGTATACATTTTGTTAATAAATCATTTCTCTTTTCAATTTACCTTGTCCGTATTGTCTCTCTAATGCTGCAACTTTGAGCCGGTTGTAATTTATATATATAATTTGTATTTTAAAAATTATTTATATAATATTGGATTGGTAATCAGTTATTCACAGTATAGATCTGTTACTGTTTATCTGTTAGACAAATCAATTTTTAGATCAATCTCAGCTTTACAAATGTCAGCTTTAAATTTTCAAATGTGACAGGTGTACAATTCAGCATGTGGTCCTAAGGACTATCAATTATTAACTTTATTGTCGGCTTAGTCCCTTTAATAATCCGGGGTCGCCACAGCGGA